CGCGCCGTCCCCCGGCGGCCGCCCCCCCGCCCAGGCCCCTCTCCTCACCGACTTTAAGGCAGAGAGAAAACGCCCGAGCGGCCCGGAGCGGAGGCGGGCGCGAGCAGCAGCGAGGAGCGGCGGCGAAAGCTCTCGGAGCGGAACCAACGCGAGAGGAAGAGGGGAGGGCCGCGCTCCGCCCCGCCCGGAACGGACCATCCCGCTCCGCCAGAGAGGATGGAGAGAAAAAGGGCCAGGGAAGGGGGCCGGGCTTCCCGGGGCCGCCTAGCTTCCAGCGGCCGGCCCGGCGCCGCGGGCCCACGGGCACCTACCGGTCCTCTGCCGGAGGTGCTCCCCCTTCCCGGCCAGCGGGGGTGCCCGCCCGCTCCCCCTCCCCGGGAGTGAGCGCGCCCGCCACCCTCGTGATTTACCGTCACACGCAAGTAGCCGCCTGGTACCCGTCCCCCCGCCCCGCGCCGGCGGTGCGCGTGGATCAGTCCCTGGGGGGGAGGGCGGCGCCCCCTGGCGGCGGGCGCGGTCCCACCCCATCCCGCCGGGTCGGGAGGGTCCCGCGTGGGATGGCGGTGCCCTGCGGCGGTCCGCCGCCGGGAGGGCTGCCGTCTGGCCTGGTTTGCGCTCCGAGGAGGGCGGCGCACGGAGCGGAGGCGGACAAGGAGCCCCGGGGCAGGACGGAGCCCCGCTTTGCGTGGGGTTTCGGCAGCCCGCTGTGTGCAAGGGGGAGCTGGGGGCTGCTCGCAGCGGAGAGAGGCCTACGGCGAGCAGGGCCCGCTCCCCTTGGAAAGACGTTGTCAGGCTGAGCGTAACCGCTCGCTGCACTCAAGCAGATCCCCGCCCGGTTCCCTCCTCGGGGCTCAGGTTCAGCCCTTCCTGGGAAGGGTCCCAACAACAGGTAGGTACAAACAAGACGACGGAGCAGAAGCTGCTCTGGAAGAGGAAGGAGTTCCCGCAAAACTGCCCTAAAACAGACCTCTAGACCAACGCCGCTCGGGCGCCAGCTTGCCCAGCAGAGAGGGGAGCGGCTGTCTGAGCAGTCCGCGCTCCCCGTGTTCACCTTCAGAGGTTAAGTGGTTCGGATAATAAACTGATTTCTGGTCAAAGTGCAGTTTATTTGCCTGCAAAATGTGCAAAGGCTGATGCTTGCTAGCACCATGACAGTTGTATTTCATAAATTTGACTGCGATAACACGCAGTCCGTTTCCCAGGCTGCTCACAAAAATTGTCATTTGTTTTTGTCTTTTCTGAGGGACTCCTTACATACTCAATAGCACATTGCTCAGATGTGTAAAAACGGGAAGCCTGTGTAATCAGGCAAACAGCAGTAAGTAGAACAACTAATAGGGTATCAGCATTTTAGTTCAGGTGTGAAGGAAGACAACCTCAGAAGTACCCTGTTTGAAAACTGGGCCCCATCAACATCAAAGGGAGTTTTGCTATTGCTTCAATATTTTAAGATTTCACTCCTAACCTTAGAATTATTTGTTCAGCAGAAACGTGGCTTTTGAAGAGGAAAATACCAATATTATATTCTTTCCCATGCATCAGATTATTTACCAAGACCTCTAAAGCTTCCTGCCTGGGCAAATTCACTGTTTTAGAAGGGCTGATGACTTAATTAAGTTTAGAAAAATCAGACTTGTAAAACAGCTTTAGACAAAGCTTGTGTCAAGCCATTCTTCTTGTTTGTTTAAATGTAGAGTAACTGGCAGAAAATCCGCTAGCCCAGACCGTCTTCTCACTTTTGAATGGATTAGATATTCCAGTTTCAAATTTGAGAAGCTGTTTCATATAATTTACCTGATGTGTGTATCAGAGGGATCAGAAACATTAATTACTACTGCATTAAATCTATGCCCAGATTGTCTGTTCTTTATTAGCATTCACGTTACATGCTGTACAAATATATATACAATATATATAAAAAGAGCGCTCTATTCCAAAAGGCGCATTTGACCGTTCTTTCATTTGTGCATTCCTCCAAATAAACCTGGTTTTCAGTAACTATCAGAGCTTCTGTATATTTACTAGATCTCTCTTTTTCTTATGTGGGGAAGTTATAAAAGCTCTTGAGGCTTTACAATTTTAGTCTCACACCTTTGTCAATACCACACCTGCTGTGCTATTAGGTCCTGGATTTGCTATTACCATTGTAAGAATTTCTTCTTTCCTCAGATCCTGATGATAACATCACCTTATAAAGACTTCACGTATTGTAGTGTCTACAGACAGAATTATCAGTTAAAAGCTACTCACATCTGACGTAAAACAAATTTCCTTAGTTCCAGAAGTGCAGGCCTTCTCTACTGCAGTTAAAATACAGGTTCTTCTCACTAGCAATTATAATAACAGGTCTCATCCTCTCTTCAGGCTGTAGAGCAGTCTGTCTATTAGCAGGTGGCATAAATAAAAACAGTACGTTAGTGTAGGTCCTTTAACTACAGTCTGAAAAGCATACGCTGCCAAACTCACACAGCAGCACGTAACTGGAGATGTCTACCAGACTGAATATAACAACATGCAACATACTCTCCATGCTGATATAGGACAGGACATGCAATTGCAACTCAGTTCTTTGCTCCCCAAAAGGGCAAACCACTAAACTAACCTGGAGATTGCAAGCTTCCCTCTAGACCTTACACAGCTGCCAAATTTCCACCAGGTGAAAAGTATAATGTTCCTTTGACTAAAGCTCTTGAAATGACCAGTTATCAGGTGTATAAACAGAGCAAGTCACTGTGCTTCAGGAAGGGACAGTGGGGTCACCTGCACAACCATGACTTTTTAATTAAGGTCATCCCCATCCCTATTTCTTTTTTTATCCCAACAAACTACTTCCTTGGCTGTGAATCTTTTCTTTTGTCTTCACTGGCCTAGGAGAGAGGTCATCATATCTTTCAGCTAATTTATAATTTTTCAGAAGAAAGTAAGGAGAAGTGTTGTCCTTTTGTGGTGTTATACAGTGTTCTAAGTGATCTGCATCAGCCACTCACAATCTGGGGAACACACCAGTTCTGGTAATTTTTTTTCAGTAGACATTCTCTGAAAACCTTATCCCTGAATATATCTATGTTTAGGAAAGCAAATAAGCATTCCTTATTTATCCATATAAGAGGTGGAAGATACTACATTTAAAGCCTGGAAAAGAAGAATCTTAGCTTTTAGCTGCGAAATTCTTTCCTCCAAGCAGGTCTGGTCAGCTTGCATTTGATCCTGCTGTCTTATTCAATTGATTAACTTGAAGTAAGGCCATATCTCCAGTGAGGCTGCTTACCTTCCCCTGTGTGTTCTTGCCTGGACTACAGCCACGGCACAATCACACGAACCAGCATTCACTTAGTTACGCTACCCTTACAAGTTAAAACTAGAGTAAAACTTGGAAGTCATAAAAATCAATATTTTGTTCATTCTGCAAGATAGGTATACGCTGGGTGTATAAAAAATGGAAAGCTTTAAAAAGAAGGAGAAAGTAGGCCTATGCTTGCAATGTATGGACACATGAATGTGGAAATGAAACCACCATCCTTTCTGGAGCTAGAGTGCTTGTACTTTCATCTGGAAATATAATACAATTTATCTCAGTTGTACAAGATGACTCTTCCATGCTTCCGAGGGTCTCAACTGCAATAAATACAATTTCGTTAGATTATTATGTTAGGGGCTGCATCAGCCCACTGAAGGTGAGGCTGATGCAGCTCCGTTCCCCAAGGTCCAACCAGTAGCAAGGCTGAGCATGTATTCTCAACAAGCAATCATGCAAGCCCACGTGTAAAACATATATACATATAAATGCAGCTGCCCACACAGATCAACACAGACGGAAACACTCTGCACTCATGCAAACACAAACAGCACCAATGGCTTTGTCCTGTTCCCCTCTCTGACTGATTAGCATGAAAGTCCATTAGTGGGAAATGCACATATAGATATACATATGCACACACACAATAAGGACCCCTCTGGTAACTGGCCTTAGACAGTCAGTCTGTCCAGTCCCAGATCTCCCCCCTTGCTGTCACCTGTGCATAAGACCCCCCCCAAGGCCCACAGCCCCACTCGAGTATGTCAGTTGCTATGAAATTCATTACTGCAGTAGATTAATGGGAAAACACCAGGCTCGTCAAGTCACACGTTTTGAACTTTAAGCTCAAACACTGGTCATTCTTATTGTCAGTAGGAGCCAGATTTCATCTGATACCATTTTCATTACTATTTTTTCCTTGAAACAAAATTGGTTGTAGATCACAGTGTCACAAAATAGCAGGACAGTGCCTTACAAGTTTGCTTGTATTGAAGACATATTTAAGCAAATTCCAGTTTGCTGGAATTCCAGCAAATTCCATCCCAATGAAATCCCCAAAATAACACATTCAAAAATACCCTAAGGGAGACCACATTCAGAGGAAGGATTTTCACCTTAATATTTGCAAGTATTTGTTCATTCACTCTAAACCCAAGGCACTGATTGCTTTGGCACTCATTCTAAAATGAAAGCATTTTTCTAAATCACAATTAAATAAAAAGCCAAGAAGATAAATCACATATTATGAATATCACATTTTAAGGAAAGGAACACAAAGACATGACAGTTCCTGCTGTCAACTCCTTGAAGTCTTTGATATTACGAAATTGCAAAGCATATTGCCAGTTGAGCTTTTCCCAGTAGCTGTAGTCTCTCACAATTTAGCAAGAGAAATGAACAGGAAAAATTTACCAACATAAGCTAGCAATTTCCTCATTACTTGTAACATTAATTTATTTGTAAAGGAATAAAATCTTGTTGTACCTCTACAGATTTAGATTAAATATGACTTATTTGAGGGTGTGTGCAGGTCACACTCTCTTCTATACTATGCTAATTTAAGCCTGCACTCTCACCCTTAAAATAAATGAAAATAGCCTAGATTTATGTTTACATAAATGAGTACAGGATCGAACTAACAATACCTGTTTTGTATCTCCAGAGTTATTTCTTATAATAGTGTTTTGGGTATGCAATGATGTTGTTAGATGTGTTCTGACTGTTAATTGTATTGCTTTGAAGTATCAAATGTGAAATTTGAATATTGATTTGTACCTATACCTACATTGGCTCAGCTCAGCCATTTCCTTTTCTCCCTCTCAAACACCTTTGCACTTGCTTTTCAGCCTCCTCTCCTCACGGGGAAACGCTCCATCAAGATTCACACAGCTGCCACTGTGTCACTTTAAAACCTCCTTTCTAAAACCATGTCTGTCAGAGTGCCAGTAATGTTATTTGGCACAGCTGAGTTAAACTGTGAGCTGATACACCTATTTTTAATGGTGAACTTCTTTGTTTCCTCTCAGCCTTGCTCCCCTCTACCTTTTCATCTCAGTCACCTGCTGCACATCTGTTATGCATACCTGCTGACGGCTACAATGGGCAACCCCATTTCAAAATGAATGTTTTAGGTAAGAAGACCATGAGGTTTTACAGATGTGGTGGTCTGTCCCCTTATATCTTTGCTCACTAATCTATGTTAACCCAGAAATCCTCATCTCTGTTACGAACTTCACTCAAAGTGTACTGAGAACCCATCCTGCTATTTAACCCTTCCTACCTCCAGTACGCCTCCCTCACCTTGTGCCCTTACCTACAGATGAATGCATCAGCTATGCCCTACTTCACCATTTTGCTGGAAAGAAGGAGCAAAACTGTGGGTAAGGCAAAGGAGAGGAGAAGTGAGCGCTGACAATGCAGTGAATAGCAGTGATTATATTCCAGCCCTGAGAGAAGTCAAAGTTGGTAGTGGTTCAGAGAGATCTACCAGTATGGAGCAGGCCTGAGATGGGCTGCCAGGAAGCAAAGAGCTATTATACCGGAGTATTACTGAGGTTACTGTGGTAGTAATAATATATCAACATCTAGAAAACATTTGGCAGCATGTACTTTCAGAATCTCTGTTCCACTGTAATATTGATACATTGCCCATCACTAATTTGTACAGTGTCTAATTCTGATCTTCGGGATTTTCATGTACTAGAAGAACAGAAAGAGTGGATAACAACAATTGTGAATCTCAGACTTGGCAGAGATACAGAGATACAGAAGTGGCAAAATGGTACTATTTGTGATCTGCTCTTCATTGCAGATATTTTCAAAATTGCATCTGAACTCTTTGAAGTTCGTGGGGTAACTCCAGAACTATTCCAGTGTAGGATGGAACACAATTTGATTTAGAAAGAAATGTATGTTTCAAAATGAGAGGTCTCTTATTTGGCAGGACGACAGAACTAGTGCTTATATCTTGTCCTACAAAGACAGATAGAGAGAGAGATATATCTGTGTGTGTAAGTATTACAGTTCTACTTTCTTGCAAGAATGCTTTCAGTCAGTAAGTGGCTGAAGGAGTCACCTGGTTGTTTGATATTTAGGAAAGCAGTATTAATCTATATTGAGGTCCCATGGCTTACAGGTTCCAGGTTTATCTTTTGAAATCTGAAAGAAAATACAAAGAAAACAACATCATTTTGCTAAGGGGAAAGAAAATTTTCTGTAATTAACAAATGCATGTTCCTTATCAACCATTTAAATGTCATTGCATGCACAAATCCCCACCTTCTCATGTTATAAAAGGTTGTGAAATCAACCAACTTACCTCTAGTCAACAGTGGCATTCTTGTAATTGAACAGGTAATTAAGCGCGTATCTTCATAGCACGGGTGATCTCACAGCCTGAAAGGCTCAGATTAGAGGAACTGACATATGAGGTTCCGTCATGCAACATGGTTTAATGAGACTGCATTAAATCATGGAGGCCATGATGTTTGCAAGGAAATCCTACATTTCTGAGGGCATTCCTGAAAACAGAACATCAACTCCTGATGACTGGATAAAAACTCAACCTTTATTTAAATTCTAAGTTGTTACCAAGTGTTTGCACAACACTTAGCCCACAAAGGTTCTTGATCTTGGTTATGACTTCTATTAATATGAGAAGTTCTATCACTGTGAAAGACTTGACCGCTGGATATCCTGCACAGAAGAAAGCAGAAGTGGATGGATGTGGAATTCACAGCCCCAGCCTCCAGGCAGGAAGAGGCCAGGGAGTGTCTAGCTGGCTGCCATTGGAAGAGATGGGGGCCTGCAGGTTTGCCTGACCCAACCTGTGTCCCTTTTCATAGAGAATTTTCAGCCTAGGGTACAACACAGTTGCTCAAACTCAGGTCCATGGGGCTTTTTAAGTTGAAATCTTTAATTAATGGACCTTGTCACAGTTTGGTCTGGTGTTTCCTATTTTCCAGGTCCCCAAAGTGTTTGTTTAGTTTGCTTTCTGACTGGATATGCACTGAGGGGAAAATGGCTGCTAAACTCTTGCTGTTTATCTGTTTGAGAATTGCTCCTATCCTTTACTCCTTTCATTTTTTTATTCCTTTTTTTTTTCTTTTTCTCTTCAACTTATAAATAAACAGAAATCTGGGGCATGTGACAATGTATTAAGCAACTCCAGATGTATCTACTTTTACAATGCCAGAAGAATGAGTGCAGTGGAAAACCTGTTGAAGGGGCTAAAGCTATTAAGTCAGAAAACAATGTCATCATTCCCATCTTGCCCTCCTGTCTGAAGAAACTCTTGTGTGATCGTTGTTGGCTAGGAAAGATAGGGAGAGGGAAGTTGGCTCCTGCCTCAGAGTCTTACAAAAATACTCTCCAGCAGGCTGCTGCTCTGTCCTGCCAACCCCCTTCCAGTGAGGGAAGTGCAAGAAAAAAGAAGAGCAGATTGAAGGCACTACTCCAGAAAGAAAGACACAGAGAACTGCAAGGGTGAGGGTACGTTTTTCTTGCCGTTCTCATTTTGAAGAAAGCAGAGGCAAAGCACACAGATCATTATCCAAATAACTTTAGTGACTGTGGGGGAAATTCAATAAAAGAGGCACAGTCCACCAGTTGTGGGTACCTGTTACACCTGTGTGAGAGGGAAGATACTTGAAGACAGTGGTATGTCAAAACCAGCTGAAGTTGGCACTGTGTTGCACTTTCAGAGTGGGGAGCTGTACTGTTCTCAAACCTACACATCAAATCTACAAAGTAATTACAATGCCTGAGACAGGCAGAAAATGGGCAATGGGCATCTTGCATGTTTGTCAAAAAAAAAAAAAAAAAAAAAAAGAAGGGCAGGGTATCTAAAATCCATTGTCCTTCTTAGGCCCCATCATTTCAGTGTCTGCTGAATATCTCTTCATTCCAGAAAACAAAGAAGAGAGAGCATGACCTGAAGGTCAAGGTGGAGGGCTTTCATAAACCCAGCTGGAAATGGATTGTACAATGGGAAGAATCATTGCTAGCCTCTGCTTTCTTAAAAAACCCAAGGATGTGTTCACTCAAGCAGCTCTAGGAATACTTCTCAGATCATGACACAGAAAATGAGCTTATATGAAATAACTGGGACATAGACAGTTTAGACCTATACAGTGAATATCTTAAATTTGCACCCTTAGATTCTGTGGATGCCACTGTCAATGGTGATGCTTGCATGGAAACATAAATCTAAAATGTTTTATTTGGGAGTGCTCTTGTGCACCCAGCCTGTATTCTAACTCCATGTTGTGACAAGACCTGGATGCATACCAGCCCATACTTCCATCTCCCTGGTTTTCAAGGCAGAAAAGAAGGAAACTGGGGTACATGGTTCAAAGTGGAATCAGTCTAAACCAGGAACACAGGACAAGTGATGGAGCACATCTACTCTGTGTCTAGACATTGTCTAGACATAGTCATAGTTCCTAATAGAGATGCAAATAAAGTGACACTAAAGACAAAGTCAGTCTATAATCTGAAAAGTACTTTCAAGGGCTTTTAGATTAAAGGAGATATATAAATTAGAAACATTACCACTGAGGAAACAGCACAGGTTTCTCAGTTGTGGACTATCACTTCATGTTACTCTGTCAACATAGCTGAGCAAAGCGCCACTGAGTAAATAAAGTGTAAAGCTCTGCTAATTGTGGTATATCGAAGAAAAGAGATTTGGCTCACTGATTAGTCTATGTGCACAGTCCATTCAGATTAAAGAGAACTGAAGAGTTGGCTAGCTCACAAAAGGGATGAAAATAACCTTACCATCTCAGTAAAGACATCATCACAGGCCATGTGTATCCGCTCAACAGCCAAGGGGCTGTTCAGTGTGAAGTCCAGGGGCAGTCCTCTTTCTTTTCGTGCAGCAGCCACTGCATCTCGTATTGCAAAGAACACTGAGCTGCCCAAGAAGAATCTGGCCTCACCCACACCCTGGCAGAAGAGAGAGGCAGCTGGAGAGACAGGCTTTGGAAACTGATGGCAGAAAGTTAAATCAGCATGTCTCCACTGTAGTTATCTGAAATACACTGAATCATACCAGTTCAGAATTTGGTCATGTCCAGCATATTTGGATTCAACAATTCTCCTTGGATGTCTGAGAACTTTCAAGTCAGAAAAAAATCAAGGACCAGGATTTGGCTGATGGGGATCATTTTAAAATTCACAATATAGCTACACTATCAAAAAAGGTTCCTGCTGGGACTTCAGTGCTTACGTTATAAAGTCATGAAATAACTCATGACTTCTCACATAAACTACCTTTTCAATGTCCAAGTGGAATTAATTCTACATGATGAAACAGAGAAAGAAAGATACCCACCCCCACTGCCCCCTTAGTCCCTCTTGCATGGGTAAAGTTTGTGCTGTCTAATTTTGATAAGAAATGTGCCCTTTGTCTCTATTTTCTTCATGTGGAAGAGTTTGTTTACTCATTTACACCATGTAAGGCCATAAGAATATGGAGTGGACTTTCCTCTTGAAATTCCTATTTGTTTTTGTACTGTGGAAATTCGAAGTTACAGCATTTGTCTTCCCAGTAACCATTACAGGTGATGGAGCCCTGCTTTCCTGTAGACTGCTAATCTCAACCCATGAGTTTTCCCACTTTTACCCTTCTGATTCTCTTCCCCATCCCACAGGGGGCAAGTGAGCGAGTGGGTGTGTGGGGCTTAGCTGCCTACTGGGCTTAAACCATGACACTTTGTCATACCTGCTTTAGATTTGAGGCTGAAACAGTGGGCATTCCTGTCTTTTAGTAGCCAGAAGCCTACACTCCCCTTTAACTCCCCTTCTATTTTGAGGAGGTTTTTTTTTCTTTTATTTTGAGTCTATGAACAGTGCTCAATCCTAGTACTGGGTGCCTCCTCAGAGGATGATGTACCCTTAAAACAGGAAA